CCCAGCCCTCCATGGTCCCCCCCAAGCCCCCCAGCCCTACCTCTCTCTCCGGGCAGCCCTGCAGGAAAGATGAGGAGGGGCTGCTGCAGAGCCAGCTTGGGGCAGGACCCCCGGGGACGGGGTCCGGCCACACCTGCGTGGCTGGGGGCACATGGGGGGGCTGAGCCTTACCGGGGGGGCCCATGGGACCCTGTTCTCCATCCTTGCCCGGTGGCCCAGCGGGGCCAGGAGGGCCTGTCTCGCCCATGGGGCCAGCAGGTCCAGGGGGGCCGGGGGGGCCTGCAGGGAGGAGGGCGTTAGAGCCACCTTGGCCCCACGGCCAGTGCCACACGCGGGATGTCCCCTTGTCCCCACACTGCAGCCCCACAGCCAGGATCCTCCTGTGGTCCTGTGCCCCACACCACAGCATCACCCAGCCAAGGCCCTGCCTCCCCACACCCACTGCAGCACCCCTGCTGACCCCGTGTCCCCATATCCCCATAGCCCCACATCCCCGTGTCCCCTTGTGTCCCCACATCCCCGTGTCCCCACACCTCCACCACCGTTCCCACAGCCCCATGTGCCCTCCACGCCCCACGTCCCCACGTCCCCTGCATGCCCTGTCCCGCCGCAGCCCCCCCAGGGGGGTGCTGATAAATAACGGGGTGGGGCGGGGGTCCCGGCGGGGCCGGCCGTGCCCCCGGCGGCTCTAGGGCTCCTCGGAGTCGTAGAGCAGCGCGGCGCTGAAGGTGGTGAGGGGCTCGTCGGGGGCGTGCGCCAGGCGCCCCGACACCAGGTCCACGCAGAGCGTCTCGCCGGCCGCCAGCGGCAGCAGCAGGCTGAACACGCCGAGGGCACCGGGGCTGGGGCCCCGCGCCGCCACCGGCCCCTTCTCCAGCCCCTCGGGCTGGAAGCCGGCCGAGTCCAGGCGGGCGATGCCGTGGCCGGAGCGGGACAGGACGGCCTCCAGCGCCTCGCCCCGGTGCCCCGTGAGCACCGCGCTCACCAGGTACCGCCCGGGCACCGGCGCCGTGAACGTGCCTGCGACGGGAACGGGGGGTCACGGACCTGCCGGGAGCCCTGCGCCCCCAGAGCCGCATCCCCAAGGTCAGCGGGGGTCCCGGGGCAGGCACGGCACCGTCCGAGAGCCCCGGCTGCCACCACACAGGCACCGTGCACCCCGTGACTGCCTACCCACAGCCCCTACTGCGACACGCCTCACCCCAAAAGCACCCCGCAGCCCCCGGAGCACCCACGGGCCCTCACCTGTCTCGGGGTCGTAGGCGCCGCCGTCGTTGAGCAGCACCTGGTCGAAGGGGACGGTGCCTGGCTCCGTGCGCTGCGTGCTCAGGGCGGCCGAGAAGGCGACGCGGGGCACCGAGCCCGGCTCCCCGACCGCGCCTGGCACGGGGCAGCGTGAGGCACCCTGCGCCCCCTTCCCTCGCCCCCTCTGCCCCTGGTACCCTCTGCGGCCCAGCAGCCCCTCTCCCCCGAGCCCAGCAGCCACCCCCCAC